TTTGCAGTGTTTGTCATACAATTATATTGATTTGACATATCATAAAAACGGAAAAAATTATTTCACTATGTATTTTTATTTTTTTATTCTGAAAAATCCTCCAATCTCTATTTAAGGAGGACGTTCAATGAAGCTATGTTTGAACGTCCTCCTTAAATAGAGATTGGAGGATTTTTCAGAATAAAAAAATAAAAATACATAGTGGAATAATTTTTTCCGTTTTTATGATATGTCAAATCAATATAATTGTATGACAAACACTGCAAAAGCTTCATAAAGAGATAAAAACGTGAAAAATATTCCTCTTTGTAAAACATAATTTTTTCTTCCACTTTATAAAGTGTAAGAAAAAGTTCCACTTTACAAAGTATAAGAAAAACTTACGCTTTATAAAGTGTAAGAAAAAGTTCCACTTTACAAAGTATAAGAAAAACTTACGCTTTATAAAGTGTAAGAAAAAGTTCCACTTTACAAAGTATAAGAAAAACTTACGCTTTATAAAGTGTAAGAAAAAGTTCCACTTTACAAAGTATAAGAAAAACTTACGCTTTATAAAGTGTAAGAAAAAGTTCCACTTTACAAAGTATAAGAAAAACTTACGCTTTATAAAGTGTAAGAAAAAGTTCCACTTTACAAAGTATAAGAAAAACTTACGCTTTATAAAGTGTAAGAAAAAGTTCCACTTTACAAAGTATAAGAAAAACTTACGCTTTATAAAGTGTAAGAAAAAGTTCCACTTTACAAAGTATAAGAAAAACTTACGCTTTATAAAGTGTAAGAAATAGTTCCATTTTATAAAGTGTAGGAAATAGTTCCGTTATATATTAAAATATACATGTTATGGGACTAACGGAAAACGTTTAGAATATTAGATAAAGTGGAATTTTCTTCCACTAAGCCTATTTTAGTTACTTTCTAAAATAGTGGCTTATTTTGGTCACTTTTATGTTTTTATGGCCTATTTAGGTTCCCAACTCTGTTTTAGATAGCATATAAATATGTTTGAAATAATACATTTTTTATTTATTTATCAAATATCAAAAAATAAATTAAAATTTTACTTGTTTTCTAATATTTGCAAGGAAAATATAAAACACACTTTTAATCTAAAGAACGAGTAAATTTCCTAAATGATCACTCATATTTTAAAAAAATAAATTGCTTGCTAAAATTATTTCTACTTCTAGAACGACAATACTACTCAATTATTGCTATTTTCCTCAAATGTTCTTTCTTTTAACGCAATAAAAAGTTATTTTCTCCTAATTAAATGTCATATTACATTAAACTTTTCTTTTTTTAATAATACATTTATTAATCATTTAACGCAACCAGATTTTAGACACGATAAAATCTAGATGACCATTCAGGAAATTTTAGCAAATAATTTTCAAAACATGAGTTCTCTAAAGAACATATAATTATATAAATAAAATCACGTTATAAAGTTATGATACAAATATTCATAATATGCTCAAAAAATGCCTTAAGCTTTTAGCTTTGATCATTCGACGATGCAGTATTAATGTTTCAAAGTGTATCTAAGGACATATCACTATAGACATTATTATTTGAGACACGATAAAAGTCTATTCATGTATCGTCACTTCCAACATATAGTTAGTTATATTAAAAGACGTTGTACCAAACTGGTGAAATTATGACACTCATCATGTCACCCATGCATATTTGAAGTTGGAACGTTATACCTAACTTCAAACGTTATGTGAAAGACAAATTATTCAGATGAAGACATGTTAAAGATATAGTAACGCCCAGCAAGTTTCTAAATACTTTTAACTACACCAGCAATTACACCAAGTCCTCTTAAACAAAGTACTCTAGTAACATAAACTCCAGGTGCTACCACCAGGGGTAATCAACATTTCCAAGATCAAAATGTTCCACTCCAAGATTAATATACCAGTCTGCAGACGAATGTCGATAACAAAAAGTGCCTTGTCTGCTGGTTTTAAGAGAAGATCCTCAAGATTTCTACAGTCAACAAGACCAAAAAAGGAATATTAAGCTTAAAAGAATGAAATAAGTTGTAATGACGTCCCAACACTACAAATCAAAGCAAGTCCCAAGTATATTTCACCTGCATTGGAAGGTAAAGTTTGAATTCTGGTGGCAGTTCCTCCTCTGAATAGAGACGGTCAGAAAAGTATATCCTCCTTAGCCTGCAGTTTGCATGAACCTGAACTCGCAGTGTTTCAACATAGTTGGTTCCATAAGCTCGTCTGGTCAAATCAGAAAGGTTCAACTGGATTTGATTCCATCCTTCATCCAATTTCAAGGGCATAGTGCAAATATAGGGTTTCACTCGGGTTACCGCCTGCAACATACAGGTGAAAGTTTCAAACTCTAGCATTCATGAAATCTAGTAAATAAACATTAACACAGCTTGTCAAAAGAGGACTTGAAGTCAAAGTACTGTAATATCTCGAGGTCAAAGAATGACCAAAAAAAATAGTAGCACTTTTTTCCTCTTTTGTTTCTCACTTATGCTGCACTAATTATCTAATCCTCTCACTAACTCAGCTTTAACAAACAGCACATTTTTTATGCCACCAAAACAGCAACCTGTTGTATGCGAGATGCCAAACAACAGTTGTGGAGAAGAGGTCCACATCCAAGCAAAGCAGGAAATGTAGCAACAGCTAGAGAATTTATATTAGGCATTTACATTATACCTCATTTAGATGTAGCAACTGCTACTTCCGACATTTTAGTGTGGAAACAGAGATATTCTCCTATCTTTTTTGACACTTACAGGTCGCTAACTTTCTCCTCGTCACAATTTATTTAAATTAATGTATCCATTCAGATTTATTAGAAGAATCATCAATCCATATAACAAGAACCATAGAAAAGTTTAATATATGATAATACTACTGTTATAAGTCCAGAAAAAATGCTGTCAAACATAAGCTCTTACCAAAAAGAGCAAGACTCTGTTCATGTCATAGACTCCATCTAACAAGTAAAAAAAAAATGAATTTTGCTCATAAACAATAAAAAATTGATTAAATGAAGCTCATTCCACTCAGCTACAGCTCCTTCCAAATGCTAAGATCATCAATTATCATCCTAGACAGCACTCAGCAGCTTTCTTAAACTAATGACAATATGACATATATTGGGAAAGACTACATGTACAAAAAGATATCCAAATTATGCCACAAAGAAGTCAAATCTATATATCCTGGAAAGACTTACAGACTTGATAATTAGAAGCTCGAAATCTTCTCCGGACATTTTTATCATCTAAAACCTGAATTTCAAATGTGAAGTACTTCTTCACATTCTTCACTATCATGACTAAGAAGGGCAACTTTATGCCAAGAGTTGCATTAGGATCTGCAGGACACGTTATGTATGCTTGCTGGACATTCGACCCAATAATTTCCAGGACATTGGATTGGATATCTTCATCTTGCAGCCGTTTGACATGTCCATCGACAACTGCACACAAGGAATAATTTGCATTGTCAGAAAGGAGAGACGGGATGGAGGTGTTAAAAATTTGGAACAGCAAATCTCTGAAGAAAATAGCTCTCTTTCAATTGCAGAGCGAGTTACTATTTCAACAGAGGATATTTGTGAGTTGGTGTCATATCAGGCACGTCACGTGCAAAGAATCTTGTTGCAGGTTCGTTTGGTAACTATGGACCTTGTAGTCTCATTGTTTAATATCTCGCGGATGTTACCAAGGACAATAGAGAAAGCAATCACGTGTTGGAGATAGTAGAGGATTGCAAATGAAAGGAAGGGAACATGGAGAACAACACAACCATGTCTACTTTAGAGCATAAGGAAAGAACAGGATAGCCGGATAGGAGAATGTTCCATAATAGTGCAAACGATGTAGAATGCATAAAGAGATGTGTTTAATTTCAGTTGTATTATTGGTGTAACAAGAAAATACTGTGTTCTAGATAGAGAGAAATTAAGAATTAAAAGTAAACAAAGGGTGAAACCACAATAAAGTGAACTCTTCAGGTATGTCAAACTTCCAGCAATGAGAAACAAATCACAAAATCCCTACAATACTAATATGATTTAGGAACAATCATTTTTTCCCCAGTGAATCTAAATACTGATCATATAACAAAGAGTTCTTTTTAAATTAAGGCTCTCCCTGGTGTATTTTCCTAGTTACATTGTCCAAGAAAGGATTAGAGGATTCAGCAATCAAACAATAGCACTATCACCACATCATATCAACAACACAACTGATTCCAGTAATCCACGCTCTCTTGAATGCTCTAATAAAACTACTCCGCACCAACAAATTACACTACAGATATGATCCTCAACAAGAAACAAGTTATATGCCAAAACAAAACAACACAATTTGGGATAAATAAGTATGCATAAACCCCTCCTTCAGCTGAAAGGGGTAAAAATTAAGTCCCCACAGAAAAACTCAGAACCACCAAGTCAACACAAAACCCATACATGAATCCTATAACTGAATCTCTGGCAAAATAAGTGCAACCCACATATAAACTTAAAAATTTACCTTCTTTATCCCAAATTTGCAGAGGCTTGCTCCTGGAGTTAAAAAAAAACTAATCTTTAATACAAGTAGATGAGTCAAAATTGAAAACTAAACAATAACGTACGAAGATTACATACCCAAGGCTGTACAAAATGGAAAGAAATCCGGATTGGAACGTGTTCTTAAACATTGGAGTCAAATTCTGCAAATCAACCCACAGAATTATTCGAATATAACCTTACCAAAACAATCCCGTATACCTTGAATGAAGAAACGGGACCGAGTGCGGGAGGAAAATAAGGGTTCTAGAATAGACTTTGATTTAGGGGCGAATCTTGACCCGGCTTGACTCCGAAGTAAGGTAAACGGGTCGTGCTAATTTTAATATCAAAATCAAGACAAATATTAACAATCTCTTAAATATTTTTGGGGGCATAAGATGATAAGGAATAAGGGATTGTTTTGGTAAGGTTTATAAAAATATAATTAAAAATAATGTAAATGTAATGCCGATAAGACATTTTACATTATAAAGATTCATTATAATTGTCAATTAAATAAATATACATATTTTTTCAAACTCAAAAGCCTTTTTCGGATTAGGTGAATTAAAAGTCACAAAAATTTGTATAATCCATTACTTTTATTCTTTTAATATGACCACCAAGATATTTAATAGAGGAATCATACTAATAATCATGTGACCGGGGCGGAGCTACATGGATTCATCGAAAAATTATTGTATATATATGATCGATTTATTGATTTTACGAGTATATATTTAATAATGAGTCCCCTTACATTAAGCTAAAGGCTTAGTTCAATGGTAATCTGGGTTCACGATTTCGTCAAATCTTCTTCGTTGTGTGAGTTCAAGTTTGGGTAGCATTATTTCTTTATCACATTTTAGCTTGTTGCTGCTTCATATGTTTTATTGTTCTTATTGACGTAAAATTGAATTTATCTATTTACGTATATCCGACCTTACCCGTTTTATATCTGATCTGAACCATTTATATGTGGATTCTATTAGCGTGCTTACTTATTTTTTTAAACCCCTCAATGAAAAATTTGTCTCCGCCACAGCATGTGACTGTCGTTTTCAGGGGATTTGATATTTTATAAATTGATTAGTGTCAATTAAGTTTTTTCTTGGAATCATTACAACGTTATTGAAAGCTTTAAGTAAAAGTGAATATGTAAGAAGTAGTAACTCGGGATCGACTGATAAATACCTTTTCATTTTGAATAAGAGGCATATCAAATTTGTGTCTTGAATATGATGTTGTATTTGATTAACACTTAACCTCAAGGTGATAAATTAATCAAATTTCAAAGTGGTTATTGATCCTCCAAAAAAATATAATTATGTAACAAACAACTATTATTTATTTCTTACTAATGTTTGATTAGATAATTTTTTCGAGAAAAGACATAAAGTTACCACTAAAGTTGTTACGAATTTTCAAAAAGACACTTAAACTTTGCGAGGGTCCTATTACCCCATTATTCTTATTTATAATGAATTTATTGTCCCATTATGAGCATAGGTGGCAGGTAGAGTGTAGTTCAATCTTCATTTGGGGCGTGAATCAAGCCAAAAAATCTATTTTTTTAATTTTGACTTTCTCAATTCATTCTTTTCCATTATCTTTTTCACCCAAATTCAAAAACTCAATAACCTTTTCTATATTTTCTTCAACTTAGAAGATCCATTTACTTCATCCATTTTTATCACTTTTTTTCTTGTCTCTTGCTTTTCTTTGTTTCTTTTTCTTCGTTTATCCTCTTTTTTAAAAATAAAAATAAAAAGGTGAACTCCATTATTCGATTGATTAGAGAGTACTATGAAACTCCATTTTTATTTTTATTTTTGGTTTAAATATAGAACTCCATTACCTTACTTTAGTAACTTGAGAGCCGAATTGATTTGGTTGTATTTATTTACTTACAAATTTTCACTAATGTGTAATGTTAAAAAAGAAATTTATTGTAATGGAGTTTCGCTGCATCACTATTGTAATATTGTTGAAAAGAAGATGGTAGATTGGAGTGATTATTAATGTTTAATTTAATAGTGATCTTATCAATTTTAATCTAATTTAGTGATGATTTAGGGGGGGGGGGGGAATAGTGCAATAACAGGGAAGCATCATGGAGTACGTCGAAGGCGGCAATGGTTGCTACTTTAGAGGAACGAAGGTTGAAGAAGAAAGAGGATTGAAAATTGAAAAAGAAAAATGGAGATTTTTTTGCTGCTACTTTAGTTCCATTTTCAATTGAAAATAAAGAGGATTTAAAAAATTTCACGCCTCCTCTCTTCATGTGGGATGTGTAGAGGAATGAAAGTTGAAGAAGAAAAATTGAAAATGAAGATGAAACTAAAAATTAAAAATTAAAATTTTTTAATACGTGGCAAACAACAATTTGTGCATGATTGCACTTCTTTCTTTGCAATTGAGGCTGGGTGAAAAGTGAGATATTTACAACACTCTTAAATTGTTCAATGGGGATAATAGGACATCCACAAAGTTAACATGTCTTTTTGAAAATTTGAGATACTCTCCAACTTTGTTATTTAGTGCTAATATACCGTCGTTATGAAAGTGACTCATATATACCTCTACTATTATACAAATGACTCATATATACCCTTTCATCTACACGAAGTAAAAAAAAAAGATTTAAATTAGCTTTAAATTTTTTAAATATAATCCATGTGTGGTTATATTTGATCCTTCTTACATGTTTTTTTTTTGACTATTTTTATTCATCGACTAATTTGAATTTATTTTGATGGTCAAATTAATTTTTTCACTTATTTTTTTGTAAAATTTATTATAGACGCCTTAAATTTTACTGATATAAAAATTAAATTACAATGTAGCCGCAAAAAAATCAATTGAGAAAAGACATAAAGTCACCACTGAAGTTGTCCCGTATTTTCATAAAGACACTTTAACTTTGAAAGTGTCCTATCACTAGGGGTGTGCACTATTTGGATTAAACCAAAAAACCAAACCAAATCAAACCGAATTGTAATTTGGATTGGTTTTTTGGATTTTTGGTTTGGTTTTGGATTTATAAGTTACTTTGTTTGGTTTTTTGGTTTGGTTTCGGATTTAGAAAAATAGAAACCGAAAAAACCGAAATTATATATATATATATAGATTAATAATTACACATATAATATTTAGGTTTACTATGTAGGCTATAGGGTACTAATAATTCAGTATTGTTGTAATATTTAGGCCCATATCAAATTACTGCCATCCTATTTCACTAATTTCAGGCATTAGGTTTTACATTATAACTATAAATATCACATATTACTTGCATTTTCATGACAAAAAAATTAGCAGAACTAGAATTAGTACTTTTCCTTATATGAAATTTTTATTTTTTAAGCATGCAAATATAACTTTGATTATGTTATTAATTAGTTATGAAATAAGTTATAACCGAATAGCCAAACCGAAAAAAACCAAACCGAAAAGAGAAAAACCGAACCGAACCAATTTTTTTTGGTTCGAATTGGGTTATACTTTTTCAAACCGAAAAACCCAAACCGAATAACACAAAACCGAACCGAAAAACCGAATGCACACCCCTACCTATCACTCCACAAAACTTTTAAATATCTTTGTAAATGAGCCATTTTGACCCATTCCCTTGTCTGAGTTATGACCACGCACATGAGGCGCATGATGCAGTGTTTTCACTGCCATAACCAGCTTAAAAGTGAAACGTATCACTTTATTTCTTTATTATTAATTATTTAACTAATTTACATCATCTTCCCCAAATTTAAACTCAAAATAGCCATTGGTAGCCCTCTCTTCATGATTTAATCTTCTTTTTTTTTTTCAAAGCAAGATCAACGTTGGTACTCTCTCTTTGATGAATACACCATCTCCCCCATACGCAATAAGGTAGGAATTTGTTTTCTCTTTTAATTTTCAATAGAAAGGTTTTTTTTTTGTATCACTAAAAGCATCAGATTCGATTTTATTACCAAAAACAATGAAGGATAAAAGTCTGAGAGTCTTCTCAAACAATGCTAAACTGAAAATACACCACTCAGGAGGACAATGTAACTAAGAAAAAGGTTGAGATTAAGACGATTTATCGATCTTCAACAAAATTGTACTTCGAAATAACTATGTCCCAATTCAATACTTGATTGGAGCAATAATGGCGAGTTGAGGTCCAAGCTTCTCCTCAGCAGCTTTCTCAGCCTTAACTCTAAGTTTTGCCAACTGCTTTCTCCTTTAGTATGCTACCTGAGCTCTCTCCTTCCTCTTGTTCTTGAGTTCCTTGACAAAGAGACAAGAAAATGTGAAGAATTTGGAAAGCTGAGAAATAACAAAGAAAAAAAGACTTTTCTACTTTAGTAATGAATCAGGTCGGGCTGAACGGGTTGAAAAGATTAAGCATCACACGCGACAATCCAGACGAGGGAATGAGTCAAAATGGTCCATTTACAAAGATATCAAAAAGTTATGTGGGGTGATAGGACACTTCCAAAGTTAAGGTGTTTTTATGAAAATACGGGACAACTTCATTGATGACTTTATGTCTTTTCCCAAATCAATTTTATAAACTTTTTAATCTTTTTTCATGCACACTTTTTTCTTTTTATTTCTCTTATTTTTACACTAAAGAATGAATGAAAATATAAAATAAGAATAAAAAGCTCAAATAATAATAATTAAAGAAGCCAAAAAATAACTATGTGTGAAAAGATCAAATACATGATTTTTTTTCTATTTTTGTAACGGTAGGGGTAAATGTGAACTAATTTTGTAACGGTAAGAGTATATGTGAGCCAATTTCGTAACGGTAAGAGTATATGTGAGCCAATTTCGTAACAATAGAAACATATATGTACCACTTTTAAAACGAAGTTATATCAATTCTAAAGACAAAATAGAATGATGATATTAAATAAATTAGTATAGTTCAAGTTCATCAAAACAAAAATTAGGCAATGGACTTGTGTTTAACAACGTGAAACTTATTTGACATTTTATGCATAAACTAGTAAAATTATCCGCGCTTCGCGCGGGAATTTGATATGACATAATTTATAAAATAATACTTAAAATTTTTCCGTCATTAAAACTAAAACACTATATTGTCTTACATACAAGATTACGTGGTAACGAACATTAATAATGTAAAGGAAAATGATAATTATAACAACTTATCATCTATCCTTCAATCAATCAACTTTAGTTTGATTTTGTAATAATTCCTTTTGCCTCCAGGAAGTGTTACTAATTAATATTTTTTGGAAATTAGATGAACATCAA